CAATTTATCGCGGTTTATAATGAAATTTCTGTATTACTAAATAATCATATTTATATCTACCAAGCAACTCATTTTTATATGCACTATACTGACACAGTTATATAGACATATAATATATATATATATATATATATATATATATAGTAATAATCACACTGAACTTTACAGAATTCATATCCAAAATATTGGTGAAATTTAAATCCAAAACATTCCACTAGGTTATGTAACATGTTCTCCATACTTTCTATAATTCTTGAGATCCTATAAACTGTGTCATAGGCTTCAATATACTAGAGAGTTGGTATAGTCTCATGGATGATATGAAAGTATATATATGTAAAGTATATTATGTCAAAGCCAGATAACAAAGACACGAATTTAGATAAATTGTTCAAATCAGTTTTGATTATTATCATTTTTGTTTCCGTTTTATTAATATTCATACAAAATTTCACTATTAGTCATTATTATTATTATTTTTTTATCATTATTTGTCAGGTCACTAATATCTTCTTCTTTCACTATTATATTATCTTCTAATTGACTTAGTTATTCAATTGTTGAGTTTTCACCTTTTTTATTTTTTATTATTAGTTATAACAAATTTAGCGCTAATACATGTAAACAATTTTTATAAATAAGCGCGTTTGTTTATTATGTAGGTGGTGTTTGTTAATTATATAAGTTAAACAATTACTTATTGCAGAAGGCAATAAGTAATTTTTACTTTTAAATTATTTTTATTAATGATAATTGTAACTCAAATAATCATAATGTTGATCACATTTTCCTTTCTCAATTTTCTAATGCTTCCCTATACACTTCCCTAAAAAAACACAACAAATATATTTGTTTTGCATGGGTTTCTATGATGCCTCTCTCCTTACTCGTGTTACATTTATGTTTCCTTACATTTATGTTTCCTTAGTTGTCAATTGATGAAATTTTTGTTTTTAATTTACTCCAATCCCTCACAAATTTCAACTAACATTGTTATTTTATTTTATTTTTTTATAAATAATATTCAACAAAATATAAATACAATACCGTGTGGCACACTTTGATTTTATAATGAACACTCGTACAATGTCTTCTTATGATAGAAAACTACAATCAAAAAAATTGGAATGGTTCAGAGCATGAATTCTAATCTCTTTTTTTAATAAATATTTTATATTATTTCATTTTATCTGACTATCATTTTTATCAACGCAATTTTATATTTGTATTAAATATTTTTTTTTTACGTGTAATATTAGTTGGACGAGAACATATTAAGTTTTAAACTTCCCTTTGCAAGCAAACATGTCAATATTTCAATTATATATTAAGTAATTTTATCAAAGGATTTATATTTTGTTCAACTTAATTATAAGACTTTTAACCCTTTCATCAATCCAAGCTACTCAACTTGAACCAATTCAAATAGGTTCAAAATTTAAAACTGAACCCAAAGTTATAATAATCCAAAGAAAATTAATATGACATTGGATTTCGTCAGGGTAACATAATCATTTCTATAATAAAATTCGTTTTTTTTTTATGTACCTACCTACCATCTTCACACACGTTTTGTGTTTTAATTTTAGACTTTTTATGATCAATTTTGACATTGATATTCATTGTTAATTTTTTTTTTTTTTTTTTTTTTTTTTTTTTTGTCATTGATAAGAAATTCCCACACACTACTCAAACACTAACTTTGCTCTTTTTGAAACTCGAACCAAGGACCCAAACCATTAAATGAGGGGAGCAAGAATGATATTTTTTAGTAATTTCAGGGGGTAATAGTTATATTTTAGGGGTATATAAATTACTGAAAAAGAACAATTAGTAAGGCATATTAATAATAATAATAAATTAATTGCCCCCTAAAGTGTAGACTCAAACCCACACTATCTACTTTGAGAGGTAGAGGAGATACCATTGAACCATGTACAAAGCCCTTGGTCATTTTTAAATTGATATATTTCTTTTGGTGAAATTTATTTTTTTACATATTTATTTATATTTTATATTTAGTATATTTTATAACAATATTATATGTAGAAGATATTTAAGGCAAATGTAATATATATGATATTTGAATCGATTTCAATTTTTGCATTTAAGAAACAATGTTAATGAATCTAGTACTTAAATTTAAGACGGTAACAAACAAGTTTTCAAATTAATACGTTCAACCCTTAAAATTTCAGCGCTTAAAATTCAGTACTTCAAAATTTGAGTGCTTAATTTTTAATTTTATCAAACAACACCTTAGTTTATTTATTTTTCTCTTCCTTTTAAGTTTTTCATATACAAATTCATATTTTCTAATAGACATATTCAACCAAATATATAAAAGTGGCTAACAAAAAATAATAAACTTATAAAATAATTTAAATTAAAGAATACTCTAATAGAACCTGATTTAGAATAATATGGTCCAATGCTCCAACAATTTTTTAGTGAAAAAAAAAAAAAAAAAAAAAAAAAAACAAGGTTGTAAACATAGAGGAGGAGGACGAATTAAGAAAAAAAGTGAGGAAAAACAAAAATTTAATGGGAGAATATGCTACGATTTCATCAACGCTTCATGCCATTATGGTTATCCATGGTGTTACCTACATTAAATCAATCATTTAAAATTAATGCACACCTAATATAAGTATATTGTTTAACCTCCGCCCAAAGTTCTTTTTCTTTTTATTTTTTATTTTTTTTTATTTTTTATTTTTTTATTCTGGCAAGAAAACAAGCCAAACGCCATACGACATCTACAGGCAAGAACAACATCCAAAGAAATTGAACGAATAACTACCGACAAACACAAATCCAACCAAAACAACTTGACACCCTAATAGTTAAGATCACAGACTTGACAAAATAGGAGAAGGTGTCAAAAACATCAACTCTACCAAGATACTACAACCAAGCTGGCACACAACTATATGAACTAACAAGATAAACAATCCTTAGCTGCTTAATATAAGTAGATTGTTTAACCGCTGATACGTTTCCCTTTTTGACTGCTGACGTGGTCTTCACTAATGAAGGGTGCATTCTAAATTTCGAATTGGTGACAACCTAAGTATCCTAATAAAGAACTAATTCAAAAACTTGTTTGTTACCGTCTTAAATTTAAGTACTTGATTATATTTCTTTTGGTGAAATTTATTTTTTTATATATTTATTTATATTTTATATTTAGTATATTTTATAACAATATTATATGTAGAAGATATTTAAGGCAAATGTAATATATATGATATTTGAATCGATTTCAATTTTTGCTTTTAACAAACAATGTTAATGAATCTAGTACTTAAATTTAAGACGGTAACAAACAACTTTTCAAATTAATACATTCAACCCTTAAAATTTCAGCGCTTAAAATTCACTTCAAAATTTGAGTGCTTAATTTTTAGTTTTATCAAACAACACCTTAGTTTATTTATTTTTCTCTTCTTTTTAAGTTTTTCATATACAAATTCATATTTTCAAATAGACATATTCAACCAAATATATAAAAGTGGCCACAAGGCCCACAACTCACAAACAAGCTATATAATTCATGATAACAAAAAATAATAAACTTATAAAATAATTTAAATTAAAGAATACTCTAATAGAACCTGATTTAGAAAAATATGGTCCAATGCTCCAACAATTTTTTAGTGAAAAAAAAAAAAAAAAAAACAAGGTTGTAAACATAGAGGAGGAGGACGAATTAAGAAAAAAAGTGAGGAAAAACAAAAATTTAATGGGAGAATATGCTATGATTTCATCAACGCTTCATGCCATTATAATTATACATGGTGTTACCTACATTAAATCAACCATTTAAAATTAATGCACACCTAATATAAGTATATTGTTTAACCTCTGCCCAAAGTTCTTTTTCTTTATTCTGACAAGAAAACAAGCCAAACGCCATACGACATCTACAGGCAAGAACAACATCCAAAGAAATTGAACGAACAACTACGGACAAACACAAATCTAACCAAAACAACCTGACACCCCTAATAGTTAAGATCACAGGCTTAACAAAATAGGAGAATGTGTCAAAAACATCAACTCTACCAAGATACTACAACCAAGCTGGCACACAACTATATGAACTAACAAGATAAACAATCCTTAGCTGTTTAATATAAGTAGATTGTTTAACCGCTGATCCGTTCCCCTTTTTGACCGCTGACTTGGTCTTCATTAATGAAGGGTGCATTCTAAATTTCGAATTGGTGACAACCTACGTATATATCCTGATAAAGAACTAATATGGAGTACATATTTATTAGGGTTTCACCCATAGCCAAGTAGTCAGAATACAAATGTTTAAGTAAATCTAATCACTTAAGACTCACAACGCATAGTGTGAATGAGACAAAAAAGAAATAACAATTAAGGAGTAAATGTATAATTTTGTTTGGTTTATATTAAAATGACATAATTATCTACAGTTAAATGAGTATAAATGAATTATATGAGTTGAACCCCTTAATTTAACATGACATAATTAGTTAATCGGGTTATCCTTTATAACATTAACCTGACTAAGATCAATTCAAACTCGATCATTTATCTTGTGTTGTATTGGCAGGTCGTATCGAACTTTATCACCCCTATTTTAAAAGGACAAATTGGTAATTTTTTTTTTGAAATTTACAAGTTGATAATTTTAAAAAGGGACAATGCTTTATTGGTATATTCTCTTGAAATTTCTAATATCAAAGATGGACAAGGACGAAGGGAGTATAGCATATATATATATATTGATGTCTTTAAGGACCCCAAATTATAATAGAACTGTAAAATTACAATTTCATATTTTTGAAACTTGGACCAAACCGAACCAAAAGAAAATCAAACAAAACTAACCCATTCAATCGGATATACTTTTTTTTATTCTGCATCTTTTTGTGTACCCTTACTTGGATGATTTACTAATTCTAAATGTATACAATCACTATCACTTGTAAATTACATGTATCAGTTAAACTTAAGTCACATATTGAGTGAGATTAAATATCCTCAAAATTTAATAGTGTCGGCTGTAATAAATTTGAATTGTGTCGCTAAAGATTACCAACCGTGATGCCTATGCGGTGATAAATTTGAACAGTCAAAATTAAAGCATTCATCAAAGTAGTCATTTTCTACTCTAAACAGGAAAAAGGAAAAAAAAAATTTAAATAACTGGCCAGTATCATCATCAGATAATGATTATGATAACAAATACTAAAGATAGAAATCCATAATCAAACATACATAAAAATCCATTCACCAAAACAATAGTAATACAGAAAGCCCAACCCCCTTTACTACAATAAACTTAAATTAAATGAAAAAATTATATAAACATACCCTTCTACATCCTCGGGTAAACCCTTTCTTCTCATTCCTGTTTTCAAGAACATCTGAAAACAATTGGAAGCAAAAGAGAAAATTAAATACAATTAAGGAAGATTAATAATCCTACACCCACTCCCAAACTTTACATCAATCAACGCACATCATTATTTGTACTATCTCATGTGGATCGATGTGATCATAATAATCCAATCCTCATGCACTTCTATGTGACCTACGTAGGTTCAGATCATTTGGAGGGCTAAGGGCATTCTTGTTATTACCCACTCTCTTCTTCTTATTTTTGTTGTTGTTATTGTTATTGCTATAAGGAGCCCCACACACAATGGTGAACTCAAACCCATATGCATTGCCAAAACAAGAAAACAACCCTCCTCCATCGGAATGCCTCCGGGGATGCCCGCGGTTCGATTTCGCCACGATCAAATCATGATCATCCGTCGAATGTCTCTCATTCCGCTTACTCTCATTCTTCAATTTGTACCCTTTCGCGGTCGCTTCCTCCACCGTCAAGTCCTCCACTATGGAGCTCCCCGTTTCGTCCGCCCCGGCCTTTGCCTCTGCCAGCTGCTTCTGCTGCTGCGGATACGACCCTTTCGCTATCTCCGCCGCCACAATTGACGCCGATGGCCCCACATCGGAGCTGAGCTCCGACTCATTCACCATCGAGCTGTTGCACACCGACCCGTTTACTGTTGATTCGTTGTACACCAAATCGGGTTTCACCGGAAAGTCCTCTTCCGACCCCACGCTCCGGGATCGCCATAGTTGGACCTTTTCGTTCATTTCCTCCTTTTTCTCCTCCTCCTCTTTCTTGTCATTGTCCTCTTTGACACCCTCATTATTATTTTTTTCCTCCGCTTTGTCACCAGGTTGAACAGAATCTCTATTCTTTATTTCGCAAAATCCAACGGAAGAGCACGCGAGCTTCATGTTTCTAGTATCTAAAATAGAAACCCCCAGGTATAGTATACCCTGAGGTGTGCCTGAGGGCCGGCGTATCTGAAGGCCGACGAATCTGGTGCTCGTGTTGTTTATAGACCTCGTGGAGGGTGGTATGAGGTTGTTGATGAGCACGCGGACGGTCCCAACTAGGGTGTGTCGCAACCATGAGGTGGTGTATATCTCCACCATGACTGCGGAGTTGTCCGAGGTTAGAAATTGGTCGTCTACTTTCAGCACAAACTTGTCATTCCATGTAGGGTTTGCATGGCCTTGTTGTCCGGGCCTGGTGGTGAATTTCCGGTCAGGTTCGACCCATGCCATGGCATAGGTGCGCATCGATTTGGAGACGTGTGCGAGGTCTTGGGCGGAGATGAGGGTGATTTCGAGGAGTTGGAAGGGGACTTGAAGAGATGAGGTGGTGGTGGTGGCGGTGCTGTTGGTGGTGGTGACTGTGGAAGAGGAGCTGGAGATGGTGGTGGTAGTCGTTGAGGGAGCCATTTTCGCCGTCCACGGAGGGGACGACGAGGCCGAGGCAGGCATAGACGGAGATGACAGACCAGAGAGAGAAGAACAGAGAGAGGAAGAGAGAGAGAGGGGGGGCAGAAAGGCGAGAGAGATTGTGGTGGTGTTGGTTTTTAAGGGTGGTTCCGACATGTTAGGTAATGTGGTTATAAATTGATGTTTTGAGACCGCAATTTTCTAACGTTGTATGGGGTCCTCAGGAGCTAACTTTGACTCCCTCTCATTAAGTCATAATTGGTTCTTGGATAGTATTTATTTATTTATTATTATTATTATTTTCACTACAAGTATTAAACAATTAAACATACGTAAATGTATGAATGTATGATCCTTATCATGAAATTATACGGTCACAAAAGTTTTTGAAGTTTCCACTTACATGCGATATGACCACCAATTTATGTAAATTTAAAGGAGACATATGACCACTAATTAATTTGTATCATTGAAGTGTTTGACCACATTATTTTAATGATAAAATTGAACCACTAAAACTGAAGTTAATTAATAAAAGCATTGAAATCTAAAGAAATTTAATAGAATCTTAACATATGAGGATCCTTTTCAATGTGCAGAACTAATTAAAAAATAAAAAAAAGGTAACAATGATGAACTAGTAATTAAAAAATAAAAAAAGAATTTTTTTTGATAGATGAATCATGATCTGTGGTGGAGATGTAAATTTTGATATATGAATTTCAATCCGAAGTGAAAATGTGAAAATCATTGCACATAAAGTTACTAATAGTTGTGCTTTTGTAATCTAAACACCGAAAAAAAAAAAGAAAAAAAAAAGACATATCATGTTGTTTCTAAGTTGTGCTTTCGTAATAGTATACATGTGGGACAATTATTTTTCAAAAAAAAAAATACTCAATAGTAACAAATTTTCCCCTCAAATTAGTAACTATTTTTTCCCCTAAGCTAAACTAATACAACGTTATTTTAAGAATTATTGGTGACGATTTGCTGCTGTCTACACCGTTAAAATAATATTCAATAGTAACAAATTTTCCCCTCAAATTAGTAACTATTTTTTCCCCTAAGCTAAGCTAATACAATGTTATTTTTAAGAATTATTGGTGACGATTTGCTGCTGTCTACACCGTTATATATATATATATATATCTAATCTCTTAAAATTCAAGATTTCGTAAAGCATAGTTAAAGTTTCAATCAAAAGAATGAAATGCTATTTTGTGACCCCTTGGTTAAATTTTGGAATGCTTTGACTTAACTTTAAAATGTTTCTTAATAGTTCAAATGTATTTTCTATGAATAATTTTTTTTTTTTGGGAGGTGTGGTCGATAAGGTAATTAAATTTTTAAACAAAGCTAGCTTTTGAGAGAGAAGCACCCAACATACAGGCAAGCTGCATACAAGCTGTAGAAATAATGTTTTCTTGACACTATTATACCTACTAAAGGTCAAAAAATTAGGATGAATTATCCAAACATATTTTATTGTTAGGTCATTTCTTACCTAAATGAATATTTTGCTTTTAATTTTATTTTAAAGAGTGATGTATTTTATTTACACTCCAAATATCAGTTTTTGATAATGTTAAAGTACTTTTTAAGTGTAAAATAACCATACTAACCGTTCGACTTTATATTGACTTTATTTCACATATAAAATGACTTAATTATCCAATTGACCCAACAGACCCATTTGAAATGACCAAAATGTCCTAGAATTTAATACCCAAATCACACACTGAATTTAACCATTCCAACTTTCCATCTTTGTTAGCTGCAAACCAGACAACCCTAATAGAAATATGTCACAGCCATGCCCAGACCACGGCGACTGTGGAAGAGACGAGAACTACGGCTAAAAGAGAGGTTGTGGAGATCAGACGGAGTCAATATATACCGGCGTCCTCTCTAGTGTCCATTACTTTTTCAGCCATCCGCCACCACCATTTCCGACGACCTCCAGTGTCTCCTCACCATCAAAACCTCCCTCCAAAATCCTAACACCAACGTGTTCGATTCTTGGGAATCCAACAATTCCATATTCAATTTCTAGCATGATTTGAGTTTGAAATTTGGACGTAGTCAAGTGAAAGATATATATAAATAGAAAGCTAAAGAAGGTGAGTTTGCAGAGATAACCCATAAGTTCTGGCGATTACAGTAGTGACCCAAAAATTCATTTGACATTTTGACAGTAGAGCGACTCCAAAGTTTCAGTGATTGCAAACACCCATCAATTCCGGTGAGAATACCTGAGCATAACAACCAACGGTAGTGACCAAGCCAGACGGTGAAGAAATACCAAGTTGTAACTCCATCAACGTGAAAACCAGTAGAGATGGTGAAGCGGATTGAGTCGCGTGATGACCGACGATTGATTTACCAACGGTGAGGATCTATATTTCGAGGTCGGCGGTGATGTACGACAGTGAGCTAGTGATTCAAGTGGCGGCAGCGCTACATGGCAACGATGAACTGGGAGTGAACAAATTGAAGAACATCATCTGTAAAAGTCACATGTCTATGCATCTTCTTCACCATTAAACAGTTCATTGCTCACAGGCAACAGTTTCAGTTCAACTCACTGCCGTCTTTAAGCCACTACATGTTGGGATTTATATGCCCTGGCATAGCAAATTCCTATTTGGATTATAGTGACATATGTTCCTGAAATATTTATGATTTATACAATTGGTGAATTCAATGTATTATATTTCGATTCATTATGAAATTGATAGTGTCCATTTGATTACAAGAGATATTTATATATGTATGTAATGGCGATCAATACATTAATATAAATAGTAATTATAAATTGTTTATAGTCGGTAATTATGGATGGACTCATTATTAACTAAGACTTGAACTGGATCCGCGTTAGGTTGAGATATATTGCTAGAACCGTTATATGCAATTACTCCCTATCACCGTCATGGCATTTGACTCTTAAGAATGAGAGAAATATAAACTCTTTTATTAGTTAGTAATTACTTTGATTTGTTTGGCGGAATTTTCGGAATCCTTAGACCGGCACTTTAGGTAATTATGTAATTAATAGTTAAAGGGTTATATCTTTAATATTTGCATCATTGCTACTTGTATTTATTTTGTATTGATTATGATTGATCACAAAGTAAATTCGAAGGCCTTCGTGTGGTTTTAGATAAAATGATTTATTATATATTTATTTATTTAAATTATTATTTTTGTCAAACAAATATTTTATTGTGATCGAGCCGGAAATAATCAAAGGTACCAAAATAAATATATTAATTAAGTAGTCGAATTGATGGCTTTATTTATCCGATAACTAATTATGCATAGAGGGGTCAAAGTGCAACATTGACTTAGAGGTTTGAAGATACAAGAAATTCCTCCTCCCTTTCTCTCTCTAGAATTCTTGCATTTCAACCAAAAAAAAATATCTCCCCTCTCTTTCCATTACTTCTCCTATTTATAGATATTTACAAATGTTGATGGACTGCTGGATCTAGGCCCGTTCCTCCATGAGTTCTGGTCATCTTTGATGGGCTTATTCGCGTTCGGCCCATATGGCAGTGTCTTTCTATGGGCCTGACCCATCTGTACGGACCGGATGTCGCGTTTGCAAGTCATATCCGGCCCATGTCATCTCGGGCTTCCTCAACTGCCCTCATAATTACCCCTTGTTTAATAAGGGGGTAATTATTGAAGGCGTCTCATCATGACGTTGACGGCTCGAGAAACCCACATGGGGGAACGGACAGTCAGACGCAGAATCAATGTTCCGGGGCTCGATGAATTTCTCGCCTTCCTGACGCTTCGGCCCTCGGGTCCCCCTCGCCTTTATAAGGCTCTAGAATACCACTTCATGCCTTTTTACCGTCTCCATCATCAGTCAAATCTCTCTCTTTTTAGAACAGTGCTAAGCTTCTTCCGGTGAAATCCTTCAAGAGTCATTCTTCCAGCGGTCTCGCAGTGCTCTTTGTTGCTTTCTACCTCAGAGGTTAGTTTTGTTCCTTTTTACTTTCGGCAGGCTTCTTTTTACCCTTTTAGATCCTTCAATCACTTCCACCATGGTTGTAGATCTAGATGTTCTTCGTATGAGAGTTAGACTTCCTGACAACATCCAAGTTAGGGTTTGCCCTAAGGATGTTAATATTATGACCGGTGCCGGCCTCCTTCCCGGCGAAGTTTTATTTTTAAACCTTCAACTGAATGTCGTTAGGTTCCCTCTGCACCCCTTCTTTAATTATGTCTTCAATAGACTGGGGATATCCCCCCTGCAGGTAAACCCCAATTTCTTTAGAATCATATCCGTTATGCTACTGTTGATTCGTGACAGAAGCCTGGACCTTGACCTCATAGATCTTCTTCTGTGTTATAAGGTCAGTAAGATCCGAACTAATGAGCCCTTCTACCACCTCTACCCGATCGACAAGATGTCCATATGTACGGACACAATCAAATCTGAAAAGGGTTGGAGGGATAACATTGTGGGCATTAGTGGGGCCTGGTCTTCGCCGGCTGCAGAGGATTACCCAATCCCGAGCGCCTTTGGCGTCTGTTTTGTTTCCTCATATAAGAAATTCAAATCTCATAAAAACGATTGTCCCTGCGAAACATGCGTTCCTCGCTTTTGTACTTTCTTATGTCGCTCCTTAGGCATACCTTGTGATGACTTGAGCTACAGTGTTTGCAGGGATAGGAGTAATTACTTGAAGAAATACGTTCTGAACGATATTCCTTCTTGCTCAGACCTCCTCACTTCAGACAACCTTCTAGCGCTCTTATCCCTCGGCTATACCATGAACAGGCTTCAGATTCCATCCTTTGGTAGGAGGAAAAATACTCCCCCACCCACTTCTGCTGCTGGAGCAACCTCCTCTCCTGCATCAGCCTCTTCCTCAGCCACCATCTCTGACACCATCCCGAGCACGGTGACTATTGATTTTGTTGTCAGCACCCCTGCTACCAACCCGAGCGCATCTCCACAAATCACTACTGCCCCTGCTGCCGCTGGGGACGCTCGGGACAAAGAACGAGGCAAAAGGCCTCATCCTGACGGCGGAGTCGACCCTGAGGAGGAACCTCTTATAAAAAGGACCCGGGTCTCTGGGCCGAGTGCTCTCTTGCATCGCCCAGTTAGAACTCCTGCCCCCTCCAGGCCTGTCGCAGCTGGTGCCTCTGTTTCTGCTTCAGCTTCTCCTTCTCTTCCCACTTTACCACCGTGGGCTCCTCGGTACACCCGAACGGAT